AAATAAAATAAATAAATTTAAAAAAAAAGTCAATAATTTAAATGGACATATTTACGAGCAGCCCTCGCATATTAAACAAGCCACCATTGCATGTGTGTGGATAGATCTGAATGGCCTGCCAACTATTTTCGAATGAAAATTTATGATGCTCTCCAGAGCTGAGCCGTTGCGACAAATGAAAGGATCCATGAAATGGACAAGCCTAAGGAGAAGGGTAAATCCGGAGGGGGAGGTGGATGAGTAGTATAGGTAAATGGGTTGACTGATCTGCTTGGCTGGCTGGCTGGTTGGCTGGTTGGCGGGCTGCTTGGATTTGGTTGTTGGCTGTTGTGTTGCTGCATGCAGTAATTAAATTTAAAATATGTACAACGGATGTTTGAGTTTTGAAACAGGTGCCGAAGCGGCCAGCAGAGCCAACGGAACGGGACGATGCGATGGGCGGATGCGAATGCGGATGCGGATAATTGTATCAAAGGCAACCGACACGAAGCGGCGCAAGCGAGTTGCCATAAACCGAACAAGTGGGCTTTGCCATATGCAAACGCACACACACGCACACTACTCCACACACACACACACACATGTGTGTATGACACACAATTCAATCATTTTGGATGCATTTTAAGTGTATTTTGCGGTTATGCGCTTTATGGGCATTTTGTGCCATGTAATTTGATTTATATGCCAATCTCTCTCTCTCTCTCTCTCTCTCTCTATCTCTCTGTCTGTCTCTTTCGCTCTCAGTTTATCTTATTTTGATTGAAAAGAAATCAGAGTGCTGGCCACTGGATGCGCGTGTGCCATTTAATTGGCTGCTGCAATTTTAAATGTTGCTAACCAATTGAATTAAATTTGTTGATTGTTATGCAGCTGCTGCTACTGCACGCAACAGTTGACAAAAGACAGTAGGATTAAGCCAACTAAGCAAGTACTAAACGGCAAGTGACCATAGAGAGACAGAGAGAGAGAGAGAGAGAGAGACGAAGACAGAGACAGGCGTTTACTGTATAATGACCTTTCACCCAATTCCTTTGGGCTTAGCTGCGAAATGTCCCGAGCCTGGGAATGACACAACATGACGCAATTTTGGCTTAGCACAAATACAAACACACACACACTTACACACACGCACACGAACACTAACACTAACACACACTCGCTGAGGCATTCGTAACATAAATGCGCTTTTGCCTGCTTTTGTCACAGGGACTTAGCCAGGATTCACATCAGCTGCAAGTCGACAATACAGATTTGAATTGCATTGAATTGCAGTGAATTTAATTGAACTAAATTTAGTCATTTATTTAAATTGATTTATCAAATAACTATACAAATTGTTTGTATTGCAGTGTAATCAATGAAGTCTTTGGAGAGACGTCGATGATTTACATTTTAGTTATTAAGGATAAGGATAAGGATAAAGATATTCACTGTCATCAGCTGCTGTTGCTATTCATTTCTATTGCTTATTAATTTACACTATTTTAATTTAATTTATAGGTTGTTGTTGACAAAGAGGTTGCCTGTCTGCCTGTCTATGTGATCCACATGGGCTTTGATTTGTTTATAAATCTGCTGATGAATCCAAGGGACTTCGAGTTCTTCAGAAATTTCTTTGTTGACCTGCATTTTCCACATTTATTACAAGACAATTATAGATAAAACAAAATGAGGATACAATGAAATACGTTTTTCACGCAACGCAACGAAATTGAAATCGTTTCTATTTTCCATAAATTCATTCGCTTTAATTGAATTAAATAAACAACAAAACAAAACCAAGTCTAAATTCTTCACTTTGATTTCCCAAATAATATTCTTAGCTTCAAAATCAATAAAGAAAAGTCAACAACAAATAAGCTTCTATCAAAAACTGATTTATTATATTTGACTTTCGAACAAAAAATAATTCTCGTATTGATGCTATAAATACAAAATACATAATTTATTTAGCAGCTTGTTGTCCTTGGTGGGTTTTGGGCATCAGCTGAACTTTCACTCAGTTCTCGCCAGAGTTTGGGGCTTCTTCGGGGCAGACAACAAAGGCCAAAGTGTGGAACCGGCTAAAGTATTTTGATTTGTGCAATGCACAAAAGTATTGTCGTTTGGCTCCGCCAGTGGCGGCAATTTCTTAAATTTTTTATAGCGCATAACCTGTCTGGCACACATGCGCCCCTCCACGCCCCCCAGCCGCCCACTTGGCGTGGAGCTACCCGCAGCGCCGGGCGCTGCCAGCACTCGTTGTGCGCTGTTTGTTGTAAGGCTCCAAGTTAGAGCAAGGACTAAGGATGTCGTCGCTATCGTTGGCTACGCTTATTGCATTATGCCAGCGACTCGCGCGAGTCAGTCGGCGTGCGTGCACAGCGGCGGATAGGCGGCGTGGGGGAGGCGCGACTGGCAGGAAACGGCTCAGGATATATCCTCAGCCAAGTGCAGCTGATGCCATTCTTGGCCCGTGGCAGTCGCGAGCTGTTTGCTCTTGTTGGTTATGGCGTGCTAAGAAGAAAAACTCAGCGCCAGAAAAGAACAAGAAACGGCCAGCATTGCCAGGAGCCGGTGGACTTGTAAATACCCTAACTAATGGGAAGCTTTAAGTTTTTTTTTTTTTTTTTTTTTTCGATGAAGTGTTCATTAAAGAAAATTTATTGGAATGAAAACTTTAACGTAGTTTCTCTCAGTTTAAGCTTTGTGGCATTAAGCTTACAATTGTG